ATGAATTTGGATCTGTTTTTAACAAAAAATGTTAACTGTGATTGCAAACAAGTGTATAGACATTATTTGTATTACAGAAACACTCCCTAACAATCATGAGGGGAAAATTGTTATTGTTGAATTTCAGTTGCCAGGTTTTGATTGTTCTCATAACTTGAATGAAGAGCAGTGCAGCAGAGGTGTAGCTCTGTGGGTTAGGACCTCTTATGGGACCCAGCATGCTAAGTTATCTGCAGAGCATCAATCAGCTAGAGAATCAGTGTGGTGCAAACTTACTCTAAAAGTCAAGGAAAGCCTCCTCATAAGAGTCATTTATAGATCACCTAACAGCTCCTTTGATAACGATAAAGTACTGAACAGCCTTTTACAGAGCATGACTTTCAGCAGGTCGCAAACGTTGATCGTTGGTGACTTTAACCATCCAGAAATAGACTGGGCAGATGGATCTTTTTCAAGAGAAGGGAATCACCCAGCATCCCTGTTCTTAAGAGTCTGTGCAAGACTCATTTTTAATCCAGAACATCACCAAGTCAACCCATTTTAGGGGTAAACAGACCCCATATATTATAGATCTATTGTTTACTAGTGAAGAATCTATGATAGATGAGCTTTGCCATGAGACTCCATTGGGCAAAAGCCATCACCAATCATTGCTTTTCAGTATTGAGTGTTGTGCAGATAAGATGCTTTGGAAGTGTGAACATTTGAACTTTGCAAAAGATGACTATTAAGAACTCCATAAAGCGGTGAATGTGGCAAATATTTCAGACGGTACTAAGGACATGAAAATGGCTGATTCATGGTCATTTTTGAAGGACATGGTTATGTCTGCAGTTGATGCCTGTGTACCTAAGATTATGCTTGGAGGAGTCAAAAAGTCCCAGTGCATGAACAGTACAGGTAAAGCTCAGCTAGAGACCAAGAAAGAAGCCTACAAGCATTATTTATAAACTCGCAGCAATTCTGATTATAACCTGTATGCAAGCGCTTGAAATCAAGCTAAAAAAGTCTATTGTACTGCAACAGACAGACTTTTAAAAACAGAAAAACATTGAAAAAATATTGCTAAGATGCAAAAAAGAATCCAACAGCCTTCTTTTTGTACGCTAGTTCAAAGTGTAAATCAAAAGATGTTATATTGGTAGTGTAAAGTACTTCACCTTGGGAAGAACAATGAACAGCAAGATTACAGTATGAGAAGACATGGTTGTAACAAGAGTGTAATGATTGAAAAGTCTAGTGTGGAAAAAGATCTGAGTTCATATCAACAAGGAGCTGAAATTTTCTAAGCATGTTGAAATGCAAGATTACAGTATGAGAAGACATGGTTGCAACAAGAGTGTAATGATTGAAAAGTCTAGTGTGAAAAAAGATCTGAGTTCATATCAACAAGGAGCTGAAATTTTCTAAGCATGTTGAAATGCAAGCTAAAACATCCAACAAACTTCTTGGACTAATCAGACATCATACTAATGACAATGCAGAAGCAATGAAGCAGTTGATTATTGCTGTCGTGCGCCCGAATCTTGTGTTTGGTGCGCCCATTGTGTGGTCACCACGATTTGAAAAAGACAAAAATTTAATAATGTTCAAAGACATGCAACAAGGATAATTCCAGGCTTGAAGGGCAAGTCCTATGAAGAATGATTAAAGTTTAAGAAGCTTCCAATCCTCAGTTATTGACAACTGTGTAGGGACCTCATCAAAGTATACAAGTATTCTCATGGTTTATACAAGGTCCCCAAAGGATTACTAGAATTTCGAACAAGAACCAACACCAGGAGCCAATGCTATAAACTAGAAAAACTGCAATGCAACTTCTCCACCCGACAACATTTCTTCTTGCTTTGAATCACCAACATTTGGAACAGCCTCAATGATTACATTGTTGGTGCTCCGAGTATGAACGTGTTCAAAAACAGACTAGATAAAGCTATGGAAAAATTTATGTTCAGACTTGAAATGCTTAGCACCATATCAAACCTGGTGGAAGTTTAGTAGCTATTTAAACTACCGTAAAATGGGGTTACTTTGACCAGCGGAGTAACTTTGACCACTTTTCATTTTTTTAACAAAAACCCCCAAAACTCAAAAACGATTTGACATAGAAAAATTTTGTCAATGGCCATCAAAGGCCTAATACTGAGGCTATGCAACACAATAGAAATGTAGGGACCTCATCAAAGTATACAAGTATTCTCATGGTTTATACAAGGTCCCCAAAGGATTACTAGAATTTCAAATAAGAACCAACACCAGGAGCCAATGCTATAAACTAGAAAAACTGCGATGCAACTTCTCCACCCGACAACATTTCTTCTTGCTTTGAATCACCGACATTTGGAACAGCCTCAATGATTACATTGTTGGTGCTCCGAGTATGAACGTGTTCAAAAACAGACTTATTTCAAACTATAGCCAGTCCTGAAAAAAATCCGGTCAAATGACACAATTTTAGATCTCCTGCAAACAAGTCTGAAAAGTAAAAGAATTGGTGACAGGCCACATCAGGCCTACTCCACAGTTCCAACATCACTATGTTATGTTATCATTTGTTCAGTTGCCACTCAAGTGAAGGCAAATGTTAGTTACTGTTTTTATGGTAAAATTAGAGATGTGTAACATGTGCATGGGACTTTGTTAATACAGCAATCCCTTGATTAATGCGGTTAATAAATCCCCGAGTTTTACCGTATTAAGCAAAACCACGCTAATCAAACTTAAGAATATATGGGAATAATTATAATGAATCTTCAAAAATAGCAAAGTTACATAATAATTATTTTTTTCCACTAAAATTCATCATATTTTTTTCCTAAATAATAGTGTAAATAAATAAAATAAATGCAAATGAATTGACATTTATTTTTTACTGAAAAATGTATCCAATTTCAATTGCACAGTAGTATTAGATTTCTTTCTCTCCTTAGATTTAGATTTCTTCCCTTTTTGTCCAAAATTATGACAGTAATTTATCAAGGAAAATTATGTAGTTTGATACAAATGAGCAGTAGATATGGCAGCGATCTTGACCAGTTGAAGGCTAACGAGTAACTAGAGCACCGGCATGGCGCACTTACTGGCAAACGTTGCCGAACTTGACCATTCGAGTTATGAACGAGACAAGGCGCGGTTAAACCGACTCTGTAGTCAGCACGAGTGCCTATGGAACGGGACCTTATTTAAAGAATTATTGGCTGAAATTCATAAAGTAACAACATTTGGCGAATTTTTCCAAAAGTCGTAACAAAAGTAACAACATAAGATCTAATAAGCAAAAAGTAACACATTTGTTATGAACATAACACCTCTGGCTAGAGGCGGGAAAATGATGCGTTGTGAAAAAAAGTCGCACTAATCAAAACTGGCACCGCATAGATTAAGGGTAGGTCGGAAATTTTTTTTCCGCGTTAATCAAAACCGCGGTATTCAAAACCGTGCTAATCAAGAGATTGCTGTAATAAATTTGTGGCTCGTGAATGGTTTTTCATGCCTGAGATATGGAATTCATGGCTCAAAGAAATTGAATTGTGGCTGGCAAACCCATAAAACCACGGCTTGAAAAAATCCAGTCGCTGCTTGCCAACTTGCCAAGTACATATATTCCATGCCTGCGCTGTGGCAGCTAGTGTGACTGCTGCCCAATTTTCCATTTTTGGCAGTGAGTGAAGTTCAATTTATAAAATCAGGTAGAATTTTCCCAAAATTTAAGGTAAAAATTATTATTTCCTAGGTGATTTTTTGAGATTGCAAGTGAAAATAGGATATTTTTCTTATTTTTCACTGGATAAATTAAGAGAAGTCCAAATGAAGGGTGCGATTTTTGACAGATTCATGAACATTTTTTTCCCATTCACAGGTGGCTTCTGCTCAATTTACCACTTTGGAGACTAGACTGAAGCTATCCACTTATATATGATTCTTGCCCACCAAGAAGGCTAGAATTTCACCCTGATTTTTCAATATTTAGGAATTAGAAAAATACTATAATGAATAAATATAAACCATTTTTAAAAATCATGTTTTTCTGGTGTAAGCAAAATTAAAAACAATGAAATGGAACAAATAAAAACTTTTAAAAACCATGTGTTCCTAATGGACAAAAAAGAAAAACATTAACTCTTACACAACATTAAAGTTATGTAAAATGTTATGTAATGTTATGCAAGAGTAAATGTTTTTTTTTATCCGTTAAGAAAACGTGTTTTTTTTAATATTTTTATATTTTTTATTTTCTACCGTTTAGTTTAGCAATTTTAGCAATTGTAAAATTTAGCGACAAAAAACTCTATTCCAAACCATGAATTTTTAGGCTTTTTTTAAATCAAAACAAAAAAATGTAAATTTTTTTTTATTATTACTTCTGGTGATCAAATCTTGAATTGTTAAGCAACATAAGCATGCATGCCAAATTTCAAGTTTCTAGGACCTTCAGAAATGCTCTAAATTAAGGTTTGAATTTTTCATGACAGACAGAGACGAAGCGAAACTAAGAAAAACCTGGTAAAAAGAGGCTATTTAGGACAAATTTTGCAAGAATTGTAAATCAAGTAGCATTTATTAGCCTTGATTGGCTTGTTGAACTGTAAATTTTCTAATTATATCATCTGATCATTGATTATCAAATTTGTTCAGTGGCATGAAAATATATATTTTTAGAATACGGACATATAGTGTCATAAAACTTCATCTTATGGTCTGATCTTAGTTTTAGCAAATGATAGTGATTTGTGACCCTGTGACTGGGTAATGAATTATAAATGAAAGTAACTGCTTTATAATTCCAAATATTGTGTAGGTATTATACTAGATTGTATGGAGGTTTCAATGGAAAACATTTTTCTCAATATCACCACTTTTGCTTTGGAATCTTCCATCTTGCTCCATGAAATATACTCTTAACTTTTCATACATAATTAGCTTTACAGCAAGGAGAGTGTACTAGATCAAAGTGTGTACCATAGTATATATTTTATACTGATTAGGTGGACTTACCATGAAACATGAATGTGATTAATATACAGCTACCGTAAAATCTTGAATTGAACTTAAATGTTGTACATTTGACCCATTTGTCAAACATTAATACTATTGATTCATTTACAGAATCCACTCATGAAGACTAAATTTTCTACAATGCCAAACAGCACTCAAGTATCTAGTCAATCTGGCAATGCTGCTGTCAATGGAACTGTAATAGCTGATGAGCTAGTAGTAGATTTGCCTGACCAGCTAAATAATGAATGGGGAAGTCTGAATAATAAACAAATTAAAGATGAAAAAAGTCGTACAGATATAGTATCTCATGAGATGGGCCAGCTGCTCCTCAAGGGATACAAGATGCTGGCCACCACATGTCACTTGTGTGACTGTATCCTCATGGAAGACAGAGCAGGTGTCCAACTCTGCATTGGGTGCAATTTAGACAACAGTAATACAGGTAGGTAGAGCGGCACCAATTTGAGTAGTAACTGCATTTCAATTATCAAAACTTGAATTCAGTTGTTTGCTTCTAATGCATAAAATTCTACCAGCAACTATGGTACTGTAATATGTTCTGAGCAAGTTTTATGATGGGCTTGAATTGATCATAAGAGTTGTTGCCACCTTGAAACCTTACTCCCATATATTTGGTTTTAGTTTAGGTACCTATGTGCTAGAAATTTTGCTTGACAAGCAATAGAATTATTATTATTATCTTTATCAATGGTCTCCTTGCAACAGTCACTATAATGTTTGCTGGATATGAAGGTTTTTGTTTAGCTAGATCATGCAATCTACTCAATACATTCTAGGAAGCAAGTATTTGACATATCCTGTCCATATCATTGTGTTATGCTATTTTTTATATTCCAGTCAAGGGCCCAGCACAGCAAAATAAAGACCCTGAATCCATCGTGGTCACATTTAAACCCAAGAAGAAGTCATCTGCTCCTAAAGCTTCCCATTCCTCGTCTGCACCCAGGAACTCCCATTCCTCATCTGGTCCAAGCAGGTGATTACCTATCGATTTGAGCATTCTTTTTCATCATAATACATGACAAATGGTTAAAGTGCATGCTTTTCAAAGCCATGCTATTTTAAAAAAATCTAGATTGAAAGCTCTTAGGGAATTTATTGATAATTCATGTTTATTACCAAGTTGAAAATTCTTCCTGTAGAGGATGTGGCTAGCAGGTTGGAAAAACAGGTTTGTAAGTCTTCATTTCCTTAACGATTACAGATATTCTTGTTGCACATGACTAATTTCTAAAGTTGTTGTTCTATATGTGAATTTTGCTGTGCAGTTACGTGGTTCAAGGCGTGGATTTGAGCTCAGAAATGAGGGAAGTGGTCACTGCCATCGGCCACAGGCTGGGCAAGCTCACCCAGCAGCTGTACAGCTCCGACGACCAGGACCAGCTAGCCAAATGCCTCGCCTCAATCACCTCCACCGTCTCTGTGCTAGAGAAAATCAGACAACTTTCTGAGTGAATAATATTTTTTGGTTACCTTTATTGCTTGTATTTTCTTACTTTAGTGAAATGATTAATTTTTTAAACCATCGGTTCAATAATTGGTTTAACATTGTTTTTCGTGAGACTATAATAATTTTCTTTATGTACGGTACCTATGTTACTGGATTTTATGAGGTGTTGAATTAAAATTTACACTTCTTGACTTATATTGCAAGCCTTACTTAATCATAGTATAACAATGGTAGTCAATTGAAGGCATGAAGCTGTATTAATAATAACTAAGAATTATACCGTCCATACCATGAGAACGCTGTTGTAAGCCATTAAATATTATCAATAATAATTGCATTAGCTTAATATTACTTCTTGTTCTGCATTCAGGAAATTTGCCAGCAAATGGAAAAGGCTCCTGATATGTTGATTTATATCAATTTTCAGTAGCTCAAAGTACAGCTTCAAACGAGATATTCTATTTCTAAATCCGTGATGTACCGTAGCTCAAAAATTCATTCAATATCCTACATATGTGATATTATTATATTAATAAAATTGTCCATTTACTCATCCACCCATTTAGTCGTCAACAAAAAAATCCCTCTTCTGCCACTCTGGCTGACAGTCCGAAACATTGCAAATCTCTTGTGGAAATCTCTATTCACTCCTTAATTTTTACATATGTTTATGTGGTTGGAATTCCTCGGTACTTTCTTGGTTAGTACGTACTAGATCGACTTGAGCTGATCTCTTATAATCGATTTTGAAGTGCATTCTTTTGGCGAGAAAACTGCACTGAGTTTCACAGTGAGTCAATATGGCTGTAACTTCAGTCGTCTTTAGCGGCATTTCCGAGGCTTTTTGTTTTACGGTCCATTTTGACAATCTCTTGAAGACTAGCTTCGGAAGCACCTCCTAGCCTGATCTCTGTCAAATAGAAATCAAGTATGTTGTATGAATAATTTCTAATACAAATTACGTTACTAAATAAAACTTGAATCTCTTGCTTCGTATTTTACTATGCGTTAACGTTTGGAAAGTCTTGTTTTCAATTGAACAGTTTCTGCTGAACATTGAAATTCAAACTTCTAAAACTACACCATGTAAGATTACCCGAACAAATTCGTTTATTGTCTTTGTTTATCAGAACAGTTTACTACTTGAGCCTACAGCAGAATTCTTGATCCATATGAAGTCGGCGAATTTTTTTTTAATAAATTTATTCGGCAATAAGCTCCACTGTATAACTTGCGAAAGAAGGGAATAATGAGCCCTTCTCATATCATGTGTAGTAGCGAAGACACTGCAGAAAAATGTACTTACTTGGTTAGGATGAGGCGCGTCGCTTCCTTGAGTATTGGCGCCCCCAATCCGTAATCTTCAGGATGCATTAAATGTTGCTGAGCATTTTGGTGGCTTGGAGGTACTTGGTGATCAGCAGGGAATTCAGTAGCCGTGAGCGAAGGAATGCAAAAAGAGACTAAGAGGCAAGCGCAGGCAGATTTCAGCTGGTCACGTTGAGGAGACAGCACCGGGCAACTGGTGAAGAGGTGGTCGAGGGTGGGACGGCTCTGACATGTTGAGCACAGGAGTTGAGGGGGGATCTCGAGAAGTGGTGGCCGTGATTTAATGGCACGCTTCTAGCCGGCGCCGCCTGACTATGACTTGGTGAGGCCGAAGGAGAGATTATTGAGCTAGTGGGCTAGTGTTTGCTTGAAATGAAGGATGTTAGTTTTTGTGGTGCTTCAGTCAACGCTCATTGTCATATGCTGCGAAATGAATGCGTGATGAGTCGGCAGAACAGAAGGACATCTGGATGATTTGGGTGAGCTCCGGCGTGGCAGGGGTAAGCCTGTCAGCAGCTTCATTGCCTTTGATTCCAACGAGCAAAATGTAAAGAAAATGACACTGCACGATGAACGACATTAGTTTTACCATTCATTTTTGAGTTCATAGATCTCTACGGTAGAATACGATCATAGATCTCTACGGCTCCTTGCGAAGTAAATTGAAAGGCTACATGGACGCAAAAAAAGCTGATCAATGCGACTTCGACTCTTCGAGTGAGAAGTGTCCGGTAGTAGTTCCTACGACTGACAAAGAATTCAGACCACAGAAAATTAACTTATTTCGTACGATTTATCACAAAAAAATCTCCAAAATACAGAACTGACTTCAAATTCTATTTCTAATATTATTTTCCTTGAAGTATACTGTTTACAGAACTATGTACATGACCTTGCAATTATCCGATATTATTGTACTGAAAGCTTGCTTGAAAATTATAGTTGTCAAGTATTTGTAGCTTTGTCTGGTTACCAACTATTTCTGAGTTGTCTCGAGTATTTCATGGGGCCCGTAAAAGCTTCACATGAGAGTTTTCTTCTTATCTTTAATTATTATTATATTTTTAATTATTATAAGAAGGAATTATTTGTATGGCAGGCAGCGAGTGCGGCCTGAGCTCGTCGTGCTGATTAACCATAGTCGAGAGCACCGCGTCCATCTAAATCTCTAGAATTTAATTTTGCTAGCATAAATTGCAATAAATGCAGCGATCAAAACACCGTCCCTACATTGCCGATGGAGCAAACACTTGGAGAAAATATTGATTCGATTGGACGCCCGTCAGTCTTCCATGTCATGGATGACATTCTAGACTGACTGTAAGTTTGAACGAGTGAACGAGGCTTATTAGTTAAGATATGTCAGGCACGACTCCCTCTGAAACTAGTAAAAGTTCAATAGCAATTTCAACCAACGTCAGTTGAAAATATCTAGTCAAAAGAACTCAAAAAGCCAGTTTTAGGGCATGTGAAAAAGTCACGAAAATACGAGAATCGGCCTAATCTGGCCCATTCATCAGGGTCGAAAATGCTATACAGTGTGTCCCAAAAAAAAACGATACTCAACTTTGAATGGCTGTTACTCGAAAAGTAATAGAGTTAAAAAAAATTTGGAAAATCAGGATTTGTTCCCTATGTTTTTCTGCATCTCTCCACCAAAAATCAGACAGATCGATGTAGCTATAAGCGTTTGATAGAACTTTCAGTGACATAAGCTAAAATCGTGCTTGCGCAAAGTTTCAGTAAGATCATTTTGCATAATCATTACGTTGTCTTGACATGTTTTCTTTTCGCTGTTTTATTTTTTTGTATCTTTGGTGAGACAAAAACATGGCAATTTTTGGTGAGAGACAATCATGGCAATCTTTGGTGAGAGACAATCATGACAATCTTTGGTGAGAGGCAATCTTTGGTTTTGAAATTCCCTCTCACCAAAGATTGCCATGTTTTTGTCTCATCAAAGATTATCATGATTGTCTCTCACCAAAGATTGCAATGATTGTCTCTCACCAAAGATTGCCATGATTGTCTCTTAACAAAGATTGCCATGATTGTCTCTCACCAAAGATTGCCATGATTGTCTCTCACCAAAGATTGCCATGATTGTC